AGGAGCCTGTCCATTGTCTCCAGAGGCAGGGAGCAGGCCCACCCCTGTGGAGGGATGAGACAGCAGTCTGGCAACTGATTGCCTTCAGGGGGGGAATGCCTGCGACTCTGAGCTCCCCCCACAGCTTGGCACTTCTGAAACCGAAGGAAGATGCAAGCATCCCGTTGTCACCACAGAGGATTCTGTGGGCCAGTGACGGCGCAGGAAGTGTCCAAAGTAGACGAAAGGACTATACAGAGCCACTGTACCGGAAACAGTTGGTGTCATGAACCATTTCTGGAAGCGGCAGCCATCAAGAGCCAGCGGTCGTGGAGGAAGAAGCCCAAGTTCCACTGCCGTCATGGGTGAGACTCAGCTTTAGGAATCGGTGGTCCGCCTGCCGACTGAGACATCGCGACACAGGATGCCGTGCTGGGAGCGTTCGTTCGTCCGCGCCAGGAAATTTGGAAGAGCACTATCCGACCGATCATGTCGTGTCCATGCCAAAGAAAGGTGATCCAACAAAAGGTGGGGATTAATTGAGCAACATCATGCTGTCACATGCAAGTAAAATTTTGCCGAGGATTGTGAGAAAATGTTTGCAGTGCGTTGGGAAAAGCAGTGCACTGACGGGCAACTGCCAGAAATTCAAGCTGGGTTCAGAAGAGGATGTGGCAGGAAGGCTGTCATGACGGACGTCAGACACATCTTGGCAGAAAGGAGAGAACACCAGAAAGCTGTTTGCCTGTGTTTCGTTGACTGTGCAAAGGCATCGCCTGTGTGGGTTAAAACAAATTATGGGCATTCCAGAACACTGTTGTGACCCTGTGGAACCTGGACATGGACCAAGAGGCAGGTGTTTGCGCAAAGGAGATGCAGTGTGGTGTAAACTCAGGAAAAGTGCATGTCAGGGCTCTAGCCTTTCACCATATGGAGTCTAGTGGTCTGAGAAGAGAAGGCAGCATCAGGGCTGGGGAAGACGCATTAGCGGCCTGCAGCCTGCGAGTGGCGGCCCTTGCTTGCTCTAACTGTGTGAATGGAGCTTCACATGATGGCTTCGTGTGCTTCCCGCAGGCATCCCCGCCCGGCTTCTCGGCAGGGTCCGCTGTGCTCCGACTTAGCCCCTGCCTGCACAGGAGCCTGGAAGGGCTCAACCAGGAGCTGGAGGAGGTGTTCGTGAAGGAGCAGGGAGACGAGGAGCTGCTGAGGGTGAGTGTGGCTGCTCCCTGAACACGCCGCTGACTCCAGCTCGGAGGCCCGGGAGGCCTGCTCTCTGGGGGCTCACGGGCTGTGAATCTGGAAACAGAGAAATGGGCCAGCAATCCTGAGAGCGAGGTGCACACTGAGCTTGTGAACTCCCAAAGGACTGAACGACAGGGAGTGCAGAGATGGGGATGTCACCGGGAAAGGAGCAAAGACTGGCAGGGAGGAGGTCCCAGCTGGGGGGCAATGGCCCATAGTCCTTCAGCCACACGGCCAGCTGCCCGCTCCTCGTGTCCTTGGCACCGTCGCCTCGTCTGCGGTGCAGCTGGTGTGTGTGGTAGCGCGTCTGCTCCTTCCAGCTCCACCTGGAGACGGGCACTCATTCTTCATTGTGCTGGGCCCTGGCGGCCTCCCTCCGTGCTCCACTCCCGGAGGAATTATTAGGCCTATTTTTATACCAACACTAATGACACAGTCCTTGGTTCATGATTTACTTGGATTTGTATCTGGCTCTGTCTGACTGGAAACCATGCACACACATCCTGTCAGTTATGCTGAAGGTTTTAAAAGGGGAGTGGGGTCCGACTTGGGTGTTTAGCAGCACCTGGGAGGCGTCGGAGCACTTGACCTGCAGGGGTGTGTCGCACGTGCAGGCACCGAGTGGCGTGCACCTTTGTGCTCCCAGAGCCAGGTGTGCAGAAGGTCCCTGCCCTCAGGAAGCTTTTCAGCTGGGCAGGTGGGGGGACATACACATGGATTAGCTCGTAGAAGTCAATATATCATCACACCTGGGATACAAGGCCTATGAAATAAAAGGTCATGGTGCTATAGGAGAGGCGGAAGGCCCACTGCCGGCTGAGTTGGAGAACTAGGAGGGGCTTCAACAACTTGTGGGAAGAGGCTGTTCTCTCTCGAGCCCTCGCAGTGACGCGCAGGAATGCCCCTGGTGCCGTGTGTGACGGAGGAGGGCGAGAGTCAGGCGGGAGCGCCTGTCACGATCCCCAGAGGACTGACAGGTGGCCGTGGCCAGGTCCAGGCCTGAGGCTTTCTTCACTTCTTCCCCATCAGATCCTCGATGTCCCAGACGGGCACCGTGCCCCCGCCCCTCCCCAGAGCAGCAGCTGCGATCATTCCCTCCTTCCCCCGGAGCCTGGCAACCTGGCCCGCTCTCCCTCCGTGCCCCTGGCATCCCCCCAGCCGTCTGGCTGGGCCAGCCGCGAGGAGCACCGGGCGGCCGTCGAGGAGCTGGCATCCGTCCCCAATGACAAAGGTAGGTTGAGGAAGCGTAGGCTGCAGGGCTGGCACTGGCACAGGAGGGTCTCCGCCGCCGTTTCCACAGGAACCGGTTTCAGGGCCTCCTCCCCTTCCCCCTTCCTAACAGCCAGCATGTCTGTTGGAGGCACAGGTCTGCCCCAACAGTCATGGGGTCTTCAGCCTGGCTTTCTGATTTCTGCCTCACGCCCTCTCTGCCCCTGTGCTTTTATTTAATCCTCACGGTCACCCGAAGCTGCAGTCCCTCCCTCCCCGTTTACTGGCCAGGGGTCGGCCTTCGTTGTCCTGGGTCAGCACCGACTCATGGCGATGCCATAACGTGAGTCCGAGTCGTCCAGTGACTGGCGTTTTGCAAGTACCTCGCCCGCCTGCGTGCTGCGGTGGAGCGCCAGCCAGTCTCTGCTCAGGTCTCCACCATGACGACCCAGGGTTCAAGGTGGCAACTAAGGGCACGTGTCTCTCGCCTAGGAGCCCCTATTCTGGAACCCACTGCTGGCTCCTAGTCCCTACTCTCAGCTCCTCTGTCCCGGGGGACATGCAGTGGCCCCTCCCTTGCGGTCTTGGTGATCTCTGTGGCCTGCACTGTCCAGTGGCATCCTCACAGCCATGCTGGGAGGTGGGCTGGTCAAGGTGGAAGCTGACAAAGCACTGCATCAAATGGAGCTTCACGCCATGCGGAGTACGTAGGAGACCCATGCAGATGGAGTCGATACTGGCAGCTCAGGCAAAGGACGCCCGCTGGGTGGAAAGCGAGTGGGGTCTTAACCGATGAGCAGGGTTGAGCAGCGATTGCTCCCGGAGGCAGTGCAGCGGCTCCTCCTGGGAAAAGGGCCAGGAGAGGAAGAAGCTGTGGCGTGCTGGCAGGCAGGCGCGCCATCGTGGAAGAGGACCGAGGACCGCAGCCGAAGTCAGGGCTGCTTTGGGGCTAGTCTACCTGCTGGGCGTGGAGAACGGCCCAGCCTTCCACCTCTGTGTGCCTCATCAGCTCTTCGTGTCCCTCCGAGCATTTTCCTAAGCTGCCGGAGGTGAGCAGAGCGTGGAGTCCCTGCGTGGTGCCAGTGGGTAAGGGGCTCTCATGCCAAGCAGACGGTGGGAGGTGGACGTCTACCCCATGGGAAGTGCCCTGGGGATCTACTCCCGAGGAGTCAGCCTCTGGGAACTGCCTGAATCCGCAGTTCTACATGGACACATGTCAGTGGCCAGGAGTCAGCACTGACCTGATGGCAGCTAGTCTGGTGTGGACTAAACACACAACACACTGGGGCGGCGTAAGCGCCACTGCCTACCTTCCCAGCTTTGCCCCCTCTGCCCCCTTACATCTCACACCCAAGGGCCGAGCTGAGGAAAGCAGAGGTCAGACCTTTCCTCAGCCTCGCCAGAGTCCGCCTGCTCTGTTCACAGCCTCCCTGGAAGAGGGCAGCCCGTCGCCAGTGCTCGCCTCTGCCGCCTCCCCTCGGCCCAACCACAGTTACGTCTTCAAACGGGAGCCCCCTGAAGGCTGCGAGAGAGTGCGGGTGTTTGAAGAAGCCTCGTGAGTATATCAACTGGGCCCAGGGCGTGGGCAGAGGGGCCAGGATAAGAGGTCCACTGCCCCACGTTACTCCCCTGGCGGGCCGCTCACAGAGACATGGTCAACTTGCGCTTATCGATACTATGGTTTTTCCATGGTCACACTTGTTGACATTACCTACTCTGAGCATTGAAGTCTTTGCTTATCATTGTCGCCATGGAAACCTGCTCCCTGCCCACATGCCAGCTCAGCAGGAGCTGGGAGGGGAAGACATCTGAAACTTGGGCTTTTGTTTCTTCGGATTTCCCATCCCCAGGGTGAGGATTTGCTAGACCACAATGAGCGGAAGACCACGCATGAG